AGCAATTGAATAAGCATACAGCTCTTGCTATGAGTGCCTTTTTCTACTTCAAAGTGCTGACTTATGAGGCAGTATACATTAGATTGTGTATAGCTTCCTGGTCATCTTATCTCTATTCTCAAGAAAGAGACTAGTTGACATGTCTCTGCTGTCTATCTCAGATATTTTCAAGACCTGATCATACTTAATATCTCCCAGTTTCATAAGAGAAGTGCTGACCACTGTAGAAGTGTTCATAATGTAGTGAACTGCTGTAATAACAACTATTAGTATATGGCTACTACTACAACTACTACCAGTTACCAATAAAAGTCATAACACGCCATTCGCAGTTGGCCATAAGTAAAGCCAAACGGCTTTCTGAAGTGACAAGAAGGTACTTCACAGGTGTTGTGCCAGTGTTTGTAACGATTTTCTCAAGAACTGTTGGACAGTTTCGGTATAAGTGAGATGCTGGAGCGACTTGTATAGTTCTCAGACATCCATTTCGGCTTTGGCGAGAATCCTTATTATCATGTTTTACGAATTGCAGTTTTTCTTGATACTCTAAAGCTGGTTCAGAAAATATGCGAATATGCTGACGTCAGTTTTTTTAAAGACAACAGAGGACGTTTGGAAACAACTGATATTGAATGAGTTGCCGCTAAAGACCTCCATTTAAATTCATTACAAGTAGTTGTCCTAATGACAGCATCTTCTCATCTCTCACTTGAGAAAAAAAATTTATCGTCATGAAAATAATAAGTTCACTGTATTTGTTGTATCCCTATCTAGCCATTTCTGTTAACGAATACTTGTTCTATCTAATTCACGCAGTGTCGACACAAAAGCTTGTACTTTCCATTTGTAGGAGAAACCCTGTTTAGTCCAGACGTAAATCTTATGAGACTGGCAGTAAGTTATAGTGAATTTCCTAATTTCAAAGTTTTACATTTGTTCTCAAATTCAAACCTTAGGAAGAGCGCCTTCAATCACTTAACCTTTAAACGTTAGAGTACAGGCGTCTTAGAGGTGACCTTCTTATGACTTACAGTATCCTTAATACTTCTGGTCATTCCCTTAAACATCTTCTTAAGCTTAGTCATAACAATAACCTAAGAGGTAACACCCAGAAATTGGAGACCCTATATAGCAGAACAAACTGCAGACGCAACTTCTACTCCGTTAGAATTGTGAAGTGCTGGAATTCGCTGCCGACTGAGCTAGTCCAAGCGACTTCCCAGGATTCTTTTAAGAGGAAATTTGACTTATTCTTAAGGACTAAGGATAACGTATCATTATAGTCGATAAGTCCTCGTTGGACTCACGTCCTGAGCATAAGGTAACTCTGCTCAAGTCCAAATGTCAAAAAATATTTAATACTGTTGTGGATGGAAACAGTTTAACTTCACCGAATGTTGTTGTGAGTCACTCGCTCGACCCACATGACACTGTTATAAAGAAAGTTAACAGTAAGAAGCCGGTAGCTAACCGGCAGGATCTGACGTCACGGTCGAAGGCCGTGAACACGACTTTTAAGGAAGTTAAACAGGTGCCTAGTGTAATCATCTGGAACTTGGCAGAATCGAAAGACACCGATCCCGCTAAGAGACATGCCCACGACCTGCAGTTAGTGGGATCTCTCATCAGAAATATACTGCCCGATGAGGTCCCGGGGGTTCATGTCTCGAAAGTCATCAGACTTGGTAAATATGTTGGAGGCGAAACCCAACAGAGAAGGATCCTTAAATTAGTACTCCGTAATTTTGAGGAAAGGGACGTATTACTAAATAACGCACGCAAAACTCGTGACTCAGACATTCGTATTCGACCTGACTGTCCACTTGAGGATCGGATCAAGTGGAAGAATGCCCTAACAGAGTTAAAAACTCGAAAGATAAACGGTGAAGCGAACCTTACGATTAAGGGTTTTCGGGTAGTCAGGTCTTGGAAGCCAATGCTTCCGAGACCTGTGTGGGTAGAACGTATGTCTCCAAAAACACCTTAAATGTGTGTTACACGAATGCTCGTAGTCTTCGGAATAAGATGTCTGAACTAAGTTTGATGGTAGACGAATTAAATCCGGATATAATTGCTATCACCGAAACTTGGCTCACTGTAGATATAGACTGTTCTCCAGTCATTTCAGGCTACATCTGTATCAGAAGTGATAGAGTTAAAAGTCGCAAGGGAGGAGGCATAATATTATATGTTAGGGACCACTTCCGCATAAACTCGATCATATCGGAGGCGCATGTAAGTGGTACGTGTGAGGTAGTATGTTGTACAATTAGGTCTAGAAACGGGTTAGTGACGATAGGAGGAATATATCGTCGTCCGTGTTGTCTCGCTGACGACTTTATCCTAAGACACGTCTGTTCTTGGAGTAAGGCAGAATGTTGTCTCATCGTTGGAGACTTCAATGCACCCCATATAAACTGGATAGAGCTCACAGCTCCAGGTGCGGGTTTCGATAGCGTCCTTCTGTCATCAATTATTCAATGTGAACTTGTACAATGTATCGTTAAGCCGACACATATGGACTTGAAACATAATCCGTCATTGATAGACCTTGTCCTCACACACCACTGTGAAGATATCGTCGACATTCAACACCTTCCCCCACTGGTGAATAGCGACCATGTCGTACTTTCCTTTAAGTTCCGGATACATGGTATAGAATTTGCATCTGCTCCACCCCATCCTAATATCTGGAGAGCTAATATTCCGGCAATCAGGGACTATGCTATCTCAATTGACTGGTCGGTCGATGCTGATGGATCGATTGATGATGCATGGAATAGGTTTAAGTCTACGTTCGAATCCGTAACTCAACCGTTTATCCCATATTCAGCCCGTAAGCTATCATATTCCCCTCCATGGATTAATAAGGAAACCCGGAAGCTGTTGAAGCGTAGGAAACACTTCTAGGACTTATTCTTGTCAACAGGTCAGGCATCATTTAAGTGCGAATATAAAAAAATCCGGAATATATGTAAAAAGACCATAGCTAAATCTCGCACGGCTTACGAACGACAGTTGGCATACGATAGCCGTACCTATCCGAAGCGACTGTTTTCGTACGTTAAAAGGTGGACGAAACGTAGTGATGGTATCCCCTCATTACTGTTAAACGAAAATTCAGCTCTATTGGCTGAATCTGATCTAGCGAAAGCGGAGATTTCTGTTACTATTTCAGTGAAGTCTACTCTACGTGTAGTGTTACAACTACTTGTCCCGTTGACAATGAGTTACCAGCCATATGACCTTTATACGTGGCAGAGGATATTGTTCTTCCTTTGATAACTAACCTAAAACCTTGTAAGATACCGGGCCCCGATGGGTTACACCCACGTTTGCTGTCGTCGCTTTCGGACATTTTCTCAAGACCGCTCACGATGCTCTTCAACATGTCCCTTTCACAGGCTCAACTACCTAGAGACTGGAAAGACGCTATAGTTAGTCCTATATTTAAGGATGGTCAAGAGACGGATCGTATCTAACTACCGGCCTGTTAGCCTCACCAGTATAGTAGTTAAGTAACTTGAAAAATTAATTCGGGCTAAGCCACTGAGTCACATAGATTCGTACAATCTGTTAACTCCCGAGCAACATGGGTTTCGTAACAAGCATTCATGCTTGACTAACTTACTCATTGCGAGAGAAGATTGGACAGCTGCCCTAGACAACGGCCAGTCTGTCGACGTGATATTCATAGATTTTAGCAAAGCGTTTGATAAGGTTTCACACTTAGGTCTTATGCTAAAGCTCTCGAGCTTTGGAATAACAGGTGCTATACAAGAATGGATAGGAAGCTTCTTATGTGACCGCAGACAGAGAGTAAGGGTCAATGGAACGCAATCCGAATGGAAACCGGTCAAAAGTGGTGTACCCCAAGGCACCATCTTCGGCTCTTTACTTTTCCTTCTGTATATTAATGAACTACCTTTATTAATTAAGTCGTCGACGTTATTGTTTGCGGATGATGTTAAAATCTGGAGAACAATAAGAAATGAGACTGATCATTGTTATCTGCAGGCAGATTTAGACGAATTAGTTAGCTGGGCTCATGATTGGGGCCTGGAAGCTAATTCCGGGAAGAGCGTGTTCATGCACATCGGGCACGCTATTAGTTACCATTATACCATTAATGGTACATCTCTGCCACGCGTTCAAGAGCACAGAGACTTAGTAGTAACTATAAGTCACGACTTAAAAACTACTACGCACTGAAGTGCGGTTGCTTCCAAAGGCTTTCGCGCGCTATGGTCGCTTCGCAGAGCATTTAAATGCTTCGACGAGGATATGTTTCGAATTTTATATCCCACCTATGTAAGGCCACACTTAGAATACTGTATCCAAGCAGCTAGCCCTTGTCTGATAAACGATACTAAATCGCATGAGCGTGTCCAGCGTGTAGGGACAAAATTAGTAAAGGATCTTTCCAAACTCCCTTACGATGAGCGTTTAAAACGTTTAAATCTTTTCCCCTTATCTTATCGTAGGACGCGAGGTGACCTTATACTGGCATTTCGTATCTTTAATTATGGTCTGGGTGTTAATATGTCTTATCTTTTTGCTCCCTCCAGCACTAATAATCTCCGGGGTCATAGCAAGAAGGTTCTGAAACCGCGATCTAATAAACTAAAGGTGGGGTCCCGTTTTTCTCATCGAGTGGTCAATGACTGGAACGCTTTACCAGAACAAGTGGTATCAGCACCATCAGTGAACATTTTCAAAAAGAAGCTGAACCTTCACTGGAAGGAAATCTGTCAGGATTAACACAGGTTCATCAACCTACTATCCTTATTACTGAATACTGATTTACCAAATTCTGTTTTTTCCTCTATTATCATTCATATACCTAGGTTTTTGCCTGGAGGTATTGGTGATCCACTGCTACTAGACACAGAAGCTTGTTAAGCGAAAGCTTCTTTTATTCCGTCCTCAACCATTTGAACCATTTAGTACATTATTTTGACCTTGTGAAAAAGCACGAAATCGTATTAGAGCTATTTGTTCCCGTGCTTAAAATTTACCTGATTGCCATGATGTTTTTGTAAATAAAGGTACATTTTTTGGTATGTAAACATTTGAATGTAATTTCGGCAGGCATAAAGTGTTGAGTTTCGAGATCCTAACTTTATTTGCGACACGAAAACTATCACGTTTTGAACAACTTACAGGTTGCATACTCTTGAGTACTAAGTAGTCATAGTGTCTACTTAACCACATACAAAAGATTAACGAAAAAATGCCATGGTCTTTACGGAATGTGTCATGAAATGCTTAGGGCCCAATATGCTTATCTATATTTTGTATAGATAAATATGTGACAAACTTACCCAGTCTTCTTATTTTGGAAAAAATGGCACAAAAGCCTCAAACTTTTTCAAAGCACTCTCGAAAAATGCTAATTGTCATTGAACTTTTGAAGGAAACCTACAAATTCTACAAAATTGGGTACTGTGTAATTTCAAAATTAAATTCGCCTATGTTCTGAAAATTGGCAATTTAAAGTGACGTCTAGTGTTCAGTTTCCGTCCTTAAAACTGTTCTCAGAAAATAAAGAGTATATGGACCAGCTGAATTTTTTTACAGGATTATGTACCTTAGATTGTTAAACATCTTTAACTGTTATTGAAGCCTGTACGTTCTATCAGAAACTTTTCGAAGATAGAATAACTTTAAAGACTGAATTTTAAGGGTTCATAATGGGAGGTTAGTCAATCAAAGCACCATAGCTTCGTATATTTGTGTAAGAACGTAGCTTGGTTTTTTACTCGATACAAGTACGATGGAACTCTTCAGCTAAAATTACAGCTAGGTACTGATTTTGGGGTCTTTAGAAAGTCCTTGTAAATGGTTATAAATAATTCATACTTATGTGTTTTACTACTGGATCCAAAGTTATTTTCATAAGACCAAGTAGTATCGCTTCATGATATATATCCTATCATTCGTACAGCAGTAAAGATTTGAATGAAGCTTGTTATTACCATAATACCAAAAGTAGTATTTCCAATTTTCCAGTGAACAAAGTTGTTTTGAGAAAGCTTTGGGAGTTCAAAATATGCGTGTTTGTTTTTTCGCTACCACAAAATCTCATGCATTTTCTTAATTTTTGAAGTTTATCTTGGATAATCTTTAAGTTATTTAAATTCTGAAAATAGTGAGGAACGTTTTGATGAATGTAAATCAAGTCTTTTAAAGAGACTAAAGCAATAAAATTCTGCATGCCTAGTTATATTGTGCATCTATCTCAGTATTAATCACTGTAATAGACCGAAAAAAATCGAGGAAGAAATGTGAATAAGTAAATGCAATGATTATATTAAAAGTTAACATTTAGGCAAATACAGGATCGTAACAGTAAAAAAGTAATATAAAAGTATTTGAATTAACTTATACTGAAAAGATATGATGACTCTTAAAAGACAATTCCAAGTTTAATAATTCCACGTTGATATTCAAAAGACAGATAGAATTAAGGTAAATTTGTTTAACTGTAAAAATACAGCGACCGTGTTAGTTGTGACATAATAGATAGTCAAAATGGTAGTTGAGAACGGTGAATGAGTTCAAAAGCACCTTACATTTTGAACAATAATCAGTCAAATGGCGCATACTGGTGAAAAGAAAGCAACAATATAACTACGGTAAAGTGTTTTGCAATTAGTAATAAATTATCCACATACTTAGCTAAATTTAAACGATTAGCGAAATTCACTCACAAAACGAGATTTTCTAACCCTCTCCATACCAGCCAAAATACATCTAACTTTTCTATTGGTCCTATAAATTTAAAGGTTGTAATTTAAAATCATTCCATTTTCAAAAGCTTTGGAAAAAGCCTTTAACTTAATACAGTATTTCACTCAGCACGTTTTCAGCAAACTAAATATATCTATAGCGAAAACACTTCATACTTTTTCTTCAAACAGCTCATCCTCTTAAAACCATAACATTTTGAATATTCCAGCTGACAAAATAAGATGTTTATTAGTCGATTTACCTGATGCTGGAAGCTCTAGTGTCTGAATTCTAGTGAGAAAACTTGATCTTCTTCTATTTACTAAGTCGTGCATCAGCACAATTTGATCTTTCGTGTGTAATAATACGTTTTTAAAAAGACAACAAAATATTTCATTGAAGAGCGAGAACATTAAAGCATCGCGAGACTTCAGTTTTGACACCGAGATAATTTATCTCAAAATTAAATCCAAATAGATCACACTTACACTTATTTTAGAGTAATAGTTTGGAAAATGAAGAACAATTCGGAAGTTGCTGAGATGATAATTTTAGCACGTGGTCGAAGAACCGAAATCGGTGTCTCAAGATGATGGTATCAGTGATAATTATGATAATGGCTTTATTAAATAGCTACCTAATCATTGTCATTGTCCTCGAAAACAAATTTCTGGACCACCCCATTACTAATGCGGCATCATCACTGAAGTTGAATTAAAACCTGATTTTTATTGCTGAGCAGTATCAGATAGTGTCATGAAGCTTTATTTACACGATTTGCAATGTATTGAATATTTGATTAATCAAGAGCTTATCTTTAACATGCATAATCTATTACGATAGCGATTTCACTTTGAGTTCTAACACAAACCGTAGAATAATCAGTTTGTCAGTAATCGATATGTTTGAAACATCACAAACTCAGTGAAACCTAGTTGTAAAATGTATGAGAAAATTTTCGTTAGTATACGAAGGTAAATATTTCATTTTTACTCCATATCGAATTTGCTGAATATTACAAATTTGACTTTACATTCCCTGATACTAATGATTGTTCTTTTTCATCTAAAAGAAATAGGTCCTTAGTGAGGAGACCCTGATCAAATATGAGCACTTTTCTGCTTGATGATGAAGTTCCTATCGAAGCTGTCCGTTGGTTGTATTTCCGTCGTTCTGGTGGAGTGAGTACATGGAAACCATTTTGTGGATATGATTCAATACGTCTCGAAACAGCTTATCGAGAGCGTTATAACGGCAGCACGGACCCAATTTACGAAAAGATTACTGTTCGTGGAGAGATGTTCGAAGTAGACATGGAAAGTTTCCTATGCATTCCTATATACTGGTTTGGCAAAAAACGATCTGTACATAGTAGAAGAAAAACTTGGTGTTCAACCCAAGTGGTGCGAGCTGTTTGGTTTCAGAAGATCAATTGGTTACCTTTAGATACAAAATTATCTGAAGTGATTGAATATGAACATCGTACGTATGCTATACCTAAATTGAAAAAAGTTACAAGAAAAAGTCATAAACGTAAGTAATGATTAGTTCATAATTCTATTGTCACATTTATTTCAGCTGTTCATAAATATCAGTCAAACAATCACGAAATAAAATGGATGCCTGATGGTACTATCTATTTAGTTACTAAAAGTGCAGAGCCTTTTGGTAAAGTTAGACTACACGGGGGATTAAGTGAGTACTTCATTAAAGAAAATTTAAACCGAAATACTCTTACCTTAAAGGTAGTGTTCCTATTAGCAGAGGATTTGTTCGTCCAGCAGAAACTAGTGATAGACCTCCACTTATTACTCATGTATGCTTTGTTGTTCATGGTATCGGTCAACAGTTAGCTAGTATACGTCATGAATGTGCCAAGTATGTTTTTCATTTCTTCTCGTATCTTTTATCTATTCACGTGTCAAAATTTACTAACTATTAAATTAGACAAATTGATAAATAGAATTTAATTGTTAGTTGTTTAACGTATTCGACTTAACTTTTGTTTGGTAATTTATATAGTTTACACTAATGAATGACTCCAGTTGAAAATTAACTAAAAATTGAGAAGTACTGGATATCTATCTTGTTTTACTATGGGACTAGGCAGCGCGGGTCCTCAAACCTTATGTGGACCAAACTCAGGACCTTCAGGTTTCTTGGCGAGTACTTAACTGTCAGATCCTTTGCCCAATATCCAATGCACAGCATTCACAACTTTGTTCTATTCACTATGTTTCTTTCCCCATTATTTAGTAACTCACCCACACGTCGTGGTTAAACTCCACTGATCATGGTTTCTTACTAGAACTTGGTGAGTTAGTACTCGAGATTAGTTAGTGGTGGATACATTATTATTGTTAACATAGGGAGTACTTACTAGTTTTCATTGATTATCTAGATACAATCAGTATGTACTGTAAACCATAATATTCAACAAACTCCATATACCTTTTATGGTCAAAAATGTACTTATAAAAGACAACCTGTTGACCTCTTTTCTCATTATGCCGGCGAGACTATAATTTATGGATGACCTTTGAACGAATCTTAAGTGACCTTGAGAAATACTTGCCAATCAGTAAACATTCAGCATAGAGTAAAAATATATTATACAAAACCAAATAATTAAAGTGGATACACTTCTTTTATATGATCCAAAAACTTATCAAGGTTAGAAAAAGATTCAAAGGTCCCAAAATCGTAGTGGATAAGGCAGAGGAACTCATCCATATGGCTTCATAATAGTTGATCTCTGGAGCCATGATAAGGTCACAAAAACCCTCTCAGCCTCGACCACATAGCTTCATTTTTATTTGTGTGTGATCCGGTTGTGTAAGCTTATCATTTTTGTTATGGATATGTCCCTACAATACTCATACCACTGAACAGCCGAAACTTCGGTAACATCAGCGAATACTGTAGCCAATGTTACTGGTGCTTTTATTATACAGTTGGTGGCAATCATTATAATATGCCTTAGTCTCAATCTGGATCAAACGATCAAGGTTCCTATTATAGCAAATGTCTTCCTTCAACATATATTACATCGAAGGACAACATCACGGTAGTCTGCACAAGGTCTACAAGTCATTTAATTACTGCGATTATGAATACAGGAACTTCTTAGTAGTTTCATTTGTTGTAGCCGCTAAATTGTCAAGTATTCTCTAAAATTCTCTGTTAACCGATTATACATGAGCACCAGGTACTGAAATTGGCGCCGTGACCTTGAAATCCCTAAAACGCTTCTGATTGGCTCGTCCATAAATTATAGTCTCGCCATTATGCCTATTATTACTGACATATTCATCTGAATATATATATCAGAAGGGGTTTGGTGGAGATTTTAGTAATTTTATAAAGTGGAGATCATGAGTCAGTTGAAGCTAGACCACCAAGGAAAACCTGGAAGCAGTGGACGGCCGTTTTGTCCTATGGTGGGTCTACTCAGTGGCAGTGCGCATACACGATACCGCACTCGCGGGATTCGAACATAGGACCTACAAGTCTCGCGTCAGAGCACTTAACCTCTAGACCACTGAGCCGGCATCCAACGGTGTTAATGTGTAACTTCTAAATACCCACAAAACCCCTTCTGATCTATAACCATATGCTCACTAGTGATTGATTGTAAGGAATGTTTCCTTGAGTTCTAGTGAGAAGCAGTAACCAGCAGAGTTCAACCAGGTCTATTGGGAGATACCAACTCACTGATGACATTGGTGAATGGTTGCTCAACTTGATGGATTGGTTGAAGTTAGGCATTAACACAATTTGATGCCGGCTCAGTGGTCTGTCGGTTAAGTGCTCTGACGCGAGACTTTTAGGTCCTATGTTCGAATCTCGCGAGTGCGGTATCGTGTATGCGCACTGCTGAGGAGTCCCACCATAGGACGAAACGGCCGTCCACTGCTTCCAGGTTTTCGTTGGTGGTCTAGCTTCAATTGACTCATGATCTCAACTATATATATATATATATATATATATATATATATATGTTTAAAACACCTACTACAAGAGTACCTTACTATATATATGAATATATGTTTTGTTTTGCTTTTTTTTCCCGTATAGAATAAGGAAAACATGTCAAAAAGTAGCTGAAAAACTTTATCCTAAATTATCTGAATTTGGACAACGTCTTGAATTTATCCCAGTCAATTGGCGTAGTTCTTTATCATTGAATTCAAAAACGTTAAACAATGTAACTATAGCACAATTACGACCATTACGTGATTATATTAATCAAAGTTTTGTAGATATATTATATTATACAAGTCCTGTGTATCGTAATGATATAATGCAAAGTTTAAGTTATGAATTAACTCGATTATTTAATTTATTTTGTTTAAAAAATCCACAATTTTTACAAAAAGGTGGTCAGATCTCTGTATTAGCACATTCACTTGGTAGTGTTATTATGCATGATATATTACGTAATACAACTGGATTGAAATTACCTAATTCAATATTTCATTCATTAGGAGTAAGTTAACAAATTGTTTTGTATTTTCATATTTGAAATCATGAGTCAATTGAAGCTAGACCATCAAGGAAAACCTGGAACCACTGGACCTCCGTTTCGTTCTATTATGGGATTCCTTAGCAGTGCGCATACACGACCTCGCCTCGCGAGATTTGAAACCGTACTTTCGACCATGAAAATACTAAATCTCCACAGAATCCCTTCTGATTATAATCATATGCTCACTAGTGACTGACTTCAAGAAGTACATCCAGGAATTCTAGTGAGAAGCAGTGATCACCAGTGGAGTTCAAACCATGTCTGTCGTGAGATATAAACTCACTGAAGACAATCGGTGAATGGTTTCTCAACTTCGTGGATCAGTTGAAGTTAGACAATAACACCGTAGGATGCCGGCTCAGTGGTCTGTCGGTTAAGGGCTCTGGCTCGAGACTGGTAGGCCCTGGGCTCGAATCTCGCGGGTAAGGGATTACTATTATTATTATTATTATTATTATTAATGGCTTTATTCAATATTATAATCTGGTACAATTTAGAATTCTCAGCACGATGGCGGATGGTGGATGTGCACTGCTGCTGAGTCCCAAAATAGGACGAAACGGTCATCTAGTGCCTCCATGTTTTTCATGGTTGTCTAGCTTCAATTAACTCACGATTTCAACTTAATATAATGTTGTGGTTCTTAGCGTTTTTTGACTTTACATTGTGTATTAAGGATGCTGTTCTGTTCATAAAACAGCTTTCGTTTGAAAAAGATCATTTCACTATCATAACAAAAAACGCTCTACCTAGCACTGAAGTGCGTTTTCGTAACAAACAATACTAAGTGAATTTATACTTAATCACATAGCACATGCAAGTGGCTATCAGGACTCAGTAGCTGTGTGGATAACGCGATAGCATTTGAAGCGAATGGTACTGGGTTCGAGTCCCAGAGTGAACATTAACTCTGAGATGCAGATACATCCAGCTGACGAGTCCCAAATAGGACGAAACAAGCGTCCTGGATTCTACTACAAGCTACCATCCATATTCGCTTACAATACTTGTGAATTAAGGCTATATTGAGGCAATGCACTCAGTATGTGTATATGGCAAATATGAGACTGACCAGTTACAGTCCTAAACATCAATGGAAAAATACAAACAAACAATATTAAGTGGAGTATACTAAAGTTTACTGAAGCCTTAACCATACGAAAATTCAAACCCATTCAAAACCAGTTTGTTTTCACCTTAAATCTACCCTGGTAATATGAACTTATTATCCAGAGTGATTTGGTTTCAAATTGTTTTCACACCATTATTATTATTATTATTATTATTATCCTTGTCTCCTCATATCTCCCATTCCCGGTCTAGTTGACCTTTTTATTTTTATATATAAATATTCTTAACAAGTATATGTGTGATGGGACTGTTCGAAATATATTGCGCTAATATATCAAATAGTTCTGATAATCTTGATCTTCTTATTACACTGTCTCAATATTGTCATTAAGTTACAAACATTATTATCAATATCCCAATCATCATTAATTTCTGTTTATAATGGTTCCATTATTTGAAGGGGGTTTTATGGAGATTTTAGTAATTTTATATAGTTGAAATTATGAGTCAATTGAAACTAGACAACACCGTTGGATACCGGTTAAGTGGTCCAGTGGTTAGACCCTGGGTTGAAATCTCGCGAGGTGGGATCGTGGGTGCGCACTGCTGAGGAATTCCACACTGGAACAGAACGGCCATCCAGTGCTTCCAGGTTTTTCATGATTGTCTAGCCTGAATTAACTAATGATTTCAACTATATAAAAGGTTCCATCATTTATTGTTAATTTACATTTCTGAATATTATTTAATTCTATTAAACATTCACTTAATTATGAGTTAATAATGGATACATTTTCGATCATATAGTCAATCTAATAAATCTTGGACGTAAAAATTAATTTAGTAGCATTGTGAAAATAGATTTGTCCTTCTATTTATTGAAATGCTCTCCATATTCGAATGACATATACATATATTAGAATACGGGTTTGTGAAAATTGTATTGATTTTAATAGTTGAATCCATGAGTCAATATAAGCTGGAAGACCATTGAAAACCTGAAAGCCCTGGACGGCCATTTCCTCCTAGTATGAGACTCTTCAGCAGTGAACATCGTGGGTTCGAATCCCCGCATGCGGGATCGTGGATATACATATACATATGTATATTATTTTTTTTTCCTTCAGGGATAAATATGAACATTACCAAGTTTTGAGTTGATGTCTACAGCATAATTTTATGTTTCATATATGTAAATATGTTTTTTTTTCTTTATTTCTATCAATAAAGGATTTAAATTGTTCACAATCATTACTTCATGAAAATGAAGATGGAACAATTTCTATGAGGCCGAAAAAAGGAAGGACTCGGTAAGTTGATATTGGAATTGATCACACCAAAGTCCCAACAAAACGGACTTTGGAAAATAGGATCACCGAGTATATGATTATAGGTTGAGGAATTTAGGTTATTATATGTGTAAAAGTGATTGATTTCAGTCTTATAAAAGGTCATTCGGGATTTGGTTAACTCAATTATAGTAGGGTCTTACATTATAGAAATGAATGACAAGGGTTTAAATCCCACCGACAGCATTAATTCCCTGAATAGTAACGAACACCGACTACCTTCAACCATTTAAAATTGTTTACCTATTAGATAAGCAACTGATTGATAATAAAGCATGATACTTAAGATTATAGAACGACAAATCATTTCCCAAATCTGACCATAACACAAATTTATTTCAGTAATCATTGCTGTAAACGTTCATGGTTTAACTAATCATTAAGTGGAAATAATTTGAATCTATTTCGAAATTATCAGTAATTTATTTACAGAACGATTTATTTTAAACTTACTATACTGTGTTCAGTGGAAATCTAAGTGCTACAGGGATATAAATTGGATTAAAGCTCTTCGGTGAAGGATTGTGTCGGGGCATGCTGATTGGCTATATCTTAACCAATCAACGCTAGCTGGGACTTGAAGAAGGCTCTTGTTATTTGGAATATAATAACTTTCCTGTTCAATTGTGTTCTAATTTAGGGACTTGTCTAATGAAGTAATGTCTAAAGATGCTAAACAATAAGAACACCTGGGTCGTAATAACAGAAATCATAATACTAAGTGACTTAATAATCCCTATTATTATTATTATTATATTTTAATTCCCAAAACTGAATATAGTTTTCAGCTTTATAGAAATACTACTTGTTTTAGAATCATAAAAGTAATTCATTGATTATCAGAAAAGGGAATTTGTGGAGATTTTAGTAATTTTATATAGTTGAGATCATGAGTCAATTGAAAAACCCCTTCTGATAATGATCATATACTCACTAGTGACTGGCTCTATGAGGTATTTCCTGGAGTTCTACTGAGAAACAGTTACTAGTGGAGTTCAACCAGGTCTGTTGGGAGATATCAACTCACTGAAGACATTGGTGGATGTGTCGCTCAACTTTGTGGAGTGGTTAAAGTTAGACATTAACACCGTTGGATGCCGGCTCAGTGGTCTAGAGATTAAGTCCTCTGTCGCGAGACTGGTAGGTCCTGGGTTCGAATCTGGCGAGGCGAGGTCGTGTATAAGCACTGCTGAGGAGTCCCACAATAGGACGAAACAGCCATCCAGTGCTTCCAGGTTTTCCATGGTGGTTTAGCTTCAATTGACTCATGATCTCAACTATATAAAATTCATTGGTTATTGAAAATTAATTTGTAATACAACATGGGCAATTTCTGATCATGATCTTATCGACAAATCTCTAAAAGTAGTATATTCTTTTTGTATACAAGTTAATTCATTTCTAACTTCTAGGTAATAATCTAATGTATAAAGGTGAAATGGTTGTTTATAAGTTATTTACTGGGTATGGTTCCATGATTTGTAAATTAATAATTATACAACTCTATGTATTAAATAACTTCTAATTTGATTGATTAATGATATCACAGACTGGTTGTGGTTGAATAATCTGATATATTTTTAAATATATAACCTTACTTACTTACTTACTTACTTACTTACTTACTTAAGCCTGTTACTCCCAATGGAGCATAGGCCATTGACCAGCATTCTCCAACCCACTCTGTCCTGGGCCTTCTTTTCTAGTTCTATCCAATTTTTGTTCATTCTTCTCATGTCTGTCTCTATTTCTCGGCGTAACGTGTTCTTTGGCCTTCCTCTTTCCGTTTGGCATTGACGATTCCAAGTGAGGGCATGCCTTGTGACGCAGTTGGGTGACTCCCTCAATGTGCGTTTTATCCACTTCCAGCGCTTCTTCCTGATTTCTTCCTCCACTGAAATCTCGTTTGTTGTCTCCCACAGTAACTTGTTGCTGATAGTGTCTGGTCAACGGATCCGAGATATATTGCATAGACGACTGTTAATAAACACCTATATCTTCTGGATGATGGTTTTCGTAGTTCTCCAAGTTTCCGCCCTATACAGTAGAACTCTCTTATTATTTGTACTGAAAATTCTGAATTTGGTGTTGGAAATATATAACCTAATTTTTAATAATCACATTCTTATAAGAAAAAGTTTTGTTCATTCAGTTCAACCTAATAGATTCAATTTATAGAGAGAGATGAAGTGAACAAAATGAATAGCAAGAAGACTTAGTTCTAACGGTATCGTTTATGATGATAACCAAAGGACTGAAAATCAAGAGTCGTTTCAAAAAAAAAAGAAAGAAAAAAAGTGATCAAATAAAAATTACGAATTCATGTTAAATTTGAAGATTCTAAATCAAATAGAGAATAAATCAGTTTCGTGGAAGCTGATTTCGAACTGTTTTTTGTTCTTGGTAGCCATTATAGTGTATATTATACCTTGAATTTTATACTTACCAACTAAGTTCACTTAAACCGCTAATAACTCAATCAGTTAAATCAGAAGGGGTTTTGTGGAGATTTAGTATTGTCATAGTTGAAAGCATGAGTTAATTGAAGCTAGACCATCAAGGAAAACCTGGAAGCACTGGAAGGCCATTTCGTCCTATTATAGAACTCCTCAGCAGTGCGCATGCACGATCCCATGCTTTCAACTATGAATGTACTAAATCTCAACAAAACCCCTTCTGATAATAATATTAATCATATGCTCACTAGTGACTGACTTCTAGAGGTAAATCCTGGAGTTCTAGTGAGAAGCAGTGACCAGTGGAGTTCAAACCACTCACTGAAGACAATTAGTGAACGGTTCCTCAACTTCGTGGATCAGTTGAAGTTAGACATTAACACCGTTGGATGCCGGCTAAGTGGTCCGTCAGTTAATTGCTATGGCGCGAGACTGGTAGGTCCTGGGTTCGAATCTAGCGAGTGCGGGATCGTGGATTCGCACTGTTGAGGAGTCCCACAATAGAACGAAACAGCCGTCCAGTGCTTCCAGGTTTTCCCTGGTGGCCTAACTTCAATTGACTCATGATTTCATCTATGCAAATACTGAAATCTTCACGAAACCACTTCTGATAATAATCTACCCTTATTCCCAACTTTTAATGATTATATTTGCAAGACATTAAACAAACTAAAGAAAACTACTAGGCATTACATTCAACCCATTTCTTAAGTAAATAGATAACTGACTTGAGATACCTTTACTGGCCTAACTAAATGCTCAGAGGTATATAATAAAAGTAAGCAAGTTTTCAATTCTTTTTCGAAAAAAATCTGTTAGTAATTTATTCAGGTGATAAGTTGTTAGTATCTATGGGAACTGGATTGATAACTTTTTGCATTGTATTCACCATTATTATTATTGTATTTTTAGTAACTTAACCGAATGTTCAAATTCAGGATCAAAAGAGTTAGTCACTAATACTATCAATAATAGTAATAATAATAATAATCATTCAGATCGCGATCATACTTTGAAATATCCAAATGTAAGTGTTCTTCGATATTTAATTATTTACTACGTATAATAAAATCATATGGACTTGTGTGTTTCATTCCCTCGTGTATTCTACCACCTAGTATAGCGATGTTGTCTATGTCGGCGAGGATCTGCTGCACATTCGGCGGGAGTGGACGAAGCCACAACTGATAAAATATGTGTCTGCCTACCTTCATGTCCTTTGTTATGCTGCTCACATAATTGTTTAGCTGTGATGGAGTCCTGTCTCCTATTTGCACTTGATTGAGAAGCTGCTCAACAGTTTATCGGTCAGTTAACGAGACGGCTTTTATCACAGCCTGATTTAATACATCATATGGCTTTTATGCATCCGGTTTAGCTAGAGCTTGCGTGGCCGAATTTATCTCGTTGTGAATGAATGCGGTTAGCTCTAAAGTAATTTTCAAGCCTAATAAACCAAAGTTTTGGGTTGGTGACCCTAAAAAGAGGAATAGTAAGATTAAGGGGCTTCATGGACAGCGCTTCCGAAAGGCTTATTGAGTATTTCAATAGAATCTTAGAAAGCTGTGTTGCGTTCGTACTTCGGGAATCACCAGTTCTGTGGCGTTCGGTATTCGATATAATTCTTTAACTTCGTATATTGCTCGTCTTGATAACAGTTGCTAGATAATGCCCAACGATGTATAAATCAGAAGACTAATACGAATACGTTGAATGCGTTTATTATCTCATCACACACGGATCAGCAAAACCACAGGCACACAAAGCAAGAACGATATGCGAGTGCCGAAGAGCCAGCGAGCGAGTGAATCAATGAACAGGATTAAAATGCACATATATACGTAGGAAAATGAATGCGTCATCGATTCATTTAAGCGATTAACACTAAAGCTAGCAGAATGAATATGTACGTAGTCAGTATGCTATGCTCAAGTATACATATCATACAAGCTCAACACTATAAAAGTACGATCGTATAGATAAGTCGTCGTTCTAAGAATGGCTCTATCTGTTAAATAAGTAAATAAAAGAGCTTAATCAAATTAAATATGAACAAGCTCAAATGTATGTGGGTTGCTATAAATCATTTAGGCGAGTAGTCACATTATAAAGTTGTTATGTAGGATTTGATTAAAATTAAGGACTCAATAATCGATCACTATGGTAATCCTAGTTTTATGTATATGTATGATAAACCTTTCAACATCCCGGCGGAGGCACTGAAAGCAAATGTAACAGCAACTGCCAAGATACTCCACATCCTCTTCAGTAAGATTTGGGACGAAGAACATGTACCAACAGACTGGAAAGAAGGACTTCTCATCAAGATACCAAAGAAAGGCGATCTTAGCAAGTGCGACAGCTACAGGGGCATCACTCTCCTCTCAATACCAGGAAAAGTCTTCAACAGAGTATTGTTGAACAGGATGAAGGATTCCGTGGACACCCGACTTCGAGACCAACAAGCTGGATTTCGTAAGGATAGATCGTGCACAGATCAAATCGCAACTCTGCGGATCATTGTGGAACAATCAATCGAATGGAATTCATCACTCTACATCAACTTCATCGACTACGAAAAGGCATTTGATAGCGTGGACAGGACGACACTATGGAAGCTTCTTCGACACTACGGCGTGCCTGAGAAGATAGTCAATATCATACGGAACTCCTATGATGGACTAAATTGCCAAATCGTCCACGGAGGACAACTCACCGACTCGTTCGAGGTAAAGACCGGTGTTAGGCAAGGTTGCTTACTCTCACCCTTTCTCTTTCTCCTGGTGATCGACTGGATTATGAAGACGTAAACATCTGGAGGAATGCACGGGATACAGTGGACAGGCAGGATGCAGCTTGACGATTTAGACTTCGCGGATTATCTGGCTCTTCTATCACAAACGCAACAACAAATGCAGGAGAAAACGACCAGTGTAGCAGCAGTCTCAGCAGCAGTAGGTCTCAATATAAACAAAGGGAAAAGCAAGACTCTCCGATACAATACAATATGCACCAATCCAATTACACTTGACAGAGAAGCTTTGGAGGATGTGGAAATCTTTACATATCTGGGCAGCATCATTGATGAACACGGTGGATCAGATGCAGATGTGAGGGCGCGGATCGGCAAAGCAAGAGCAGCATACCTACAACTGAAAAACATCTGGAGCTCAAAACAATTGTCAACCAACACCAAGGTTAGAATTTTCAATACAAATGTCAAGACAGTTCTTCTGTATGGGGCAGAGACGTGGAGAACTACGAAAGGCATCATCCAGAAGATACAAGTGTTTATTAACAGCTGTCTACGCAAGATACTTCGGATCCGATGGCCAGACACTATCAGCAACAAGTTACTGTGGGAGAAAACAAACCAGATTCCAGCGGAGGAAGAAATCAGGAAGAAGCGCTGGAAGTGGATTGGGCACACTTTGAGGAAATCACCCAATTGTGTCACAAGACAAGCCCTCACATGGAATCCTGAAGGTCAAAGGAGAAGAGGAAGACCAAAGAACACATTACGCCGAGAAATAGAGACGGACATGAGAAGAATGAACAAGAACTGGAAAGAACTAGAAAAGAAGGCCCAGGACAGAGTGGGTTGGAGAATGCTGGTCAATGGCCTATGCTCCATTGGGAGTAACAGGCTTAAGTAAGTAAGTAAGTAAGTAAGTAAGTAAGTAAGTAAGTAAGTAAGTAAGTAAGTAAGTAAGTAAGTAAGTAAGTAAGTAAGTAAGTAAGTAAGTAAGTAAGTAAGTAAGTAAGTAAGTAAGTAAGTAAGTAAGTAAGTAAGTAAGTAAGTAAATAAGTAAGTAAGTAATGATAATCCTTTGTGCACTAGTAACCAATTTCGGGAGTTGGTTTTCAGAGTTCTAGTGAGAAGGGATGAACATTCAAGTTCAACTATTTCTGGAGTGAGGATGTTATCCATCAATCACATTGGAAGGTAATTGCTCAATATCACGAATTGATTGAAGTCGGACACATAAGACATCGGATACTGAGCCCAGTCATCGAAAAGTTAGATGCGAATCGTAAAACCTGACGTACTTGAGTTTGAAGCCCATTGGCTCAGTGACCGTGTACAGTCGCGGACTATAACAATGAGATGATACAGTTGTCCAGTACTTCTTAATTTATAATTGTTATCTAGTTAAGGCAGCGTTGTGGCGTGAGCTTTAAAATTTCACAAGAATTATAGGATGGCATGAGTTTCTTCGAGATTTCATACAGTACATCTCCTTGATAATAAATTAAGCAATGATTTTCCAACGAAACTGTTTTCTTGATATTGCATCATACTCTATGAAATCATATTTTCATCAGACATTCGAAAATATACTATTACCAGGTTTCTGACCATGATTATGATACATTATTTGAGACTCAGTATTCACTAGTATAATAAACATTGAATGTTCAATTTAGGCGTTTTACTAAAAACAAGAACCACATCATGAAACCTACGATTGTTTCTCGTTGCATTGGAACATAATGCAACTTAAATATTTTTGTTTTATCACAATTGATTGATCACTGGGCGGTGATCAATGTCATGCGTGTTAAATCCTTTTTGGTGCTAATCGAATGCTATCGATCAAGTTGCAATGTGGCCACTAGTCTACGTTGCTCGACTCTGCGTGCACTAAGTTGAGATAAGATGGTGGGTGGAGGTGGTCAACAGGAAACCCTGGACCCGGGTTTCGTGCTACTTGGCACTCATCAGTAAGGTGTACCTGTAATTTTGAGGGAACCGAAGCTCCCTGATGGATTTGTTCCCGTGTCACTCAGCTTCACAGTCAGAGACGTTACCACTCAGCTATTCGGGCCGTGACCGACTTCCTGTAGGACTGAGATGTCATCACAATTGATTGATCACTGGGTGGCGATCAATGTCATGCATGTCAAGTCCGTCTTAGTGCTGAACGAATGCTATAGATATTTTGTTTTATAGTGACCAGAGGGAATTTTTTTATGATTAATAACTACAAATGAATGATTCTTCTACAATCAAGTTACAATACACATGCATGTAACAAAATATTAAAAATTTACCTCAGATCTAATCTCTAACTGTTTAATAGGGGGGATCATTTTTGGAAAATATATCAAAACCGAAAGAATGGAAACCTGTACCACAGGTATTTCTCATTTTCAAAAAAGGGATTCCAATTTACATGTGTACATCAGGTGGTGAAATACTTTTCAGCGTGTGTGTTAGTGTGAGTGTGTGTATGTGTGACAACTTCATCTACCTAACATAGAATTGAATCTAGTTAACTATCAATATAAATACTTTATATATTACTTATAAAAAAAAAGTTTCAGCATATGTTAAGTGATAAATAAAAATTAATATTCGGTGTCATTTGCAATAACTGATAACTTTCATGTTAAACACATACTGTTTATGTTTGAATGACGACCGAACGTCGGCTTGCGTCAATAATCTACTGGTGTATGTTTTGGTTATACTTAATTTGTTAGTAACTAACATCATGTGGTTTGGTGATCTATTTTAAAGCAGGTTTATCAATTAAGTGACAATATCACTATTAAGAAAAGATGGATAGTGACTAGCAGTGGAATACAAGACGCGCGTTTCATTCTATTTGGGACTCATCAACTGGATGTATTTGAATCTCAGAGTTGATGTTCACTCTGGGATTCGAACTCAGTAACTTTCACTTCAAACGCCATCGTGTTATCCACTCAGCTACTGAGTCCTAATAGCCACTTGCTTGTGCGATGGGGTGAAGTAAAAATACATTTAGCATTGTTTGTTTGAATCCTCCCATTGATTTTTAGGACTACAATTGATCAGTCTCTTATTGGCCATATGTGCATACTGCATGTATTGCCTCGATATAGCCTTAATTCACAATCATTCTAAGCAGAGATGGATAGTGGCTAATAGTGGAATCCAGGACGCGTGTTTCCTCCTATTTGGGACTCATCAGCTGGACGTATCTGCATCTCAGTTAAAGAATGAATTATTATTAAATACTATATATTAAAACCATTCACTGATTTAGGGAAGTCTTCTTAACTAAGCTAAATCTTCTACTATCCTAATGTGAATCAGTTTTCGTATTTAATATAGACATTCCTAAATGAAAAAAAGCTTGATTAATGACTTATTTATTACTTATACTACTCATAGAAGATTCTAGTTTTGGAGTGTTTTAATGTGCATAATTAGTTACTCACTTACTTACTGACGCCTGTTACCCCTCGCATCTAACTTGTAAATTGAGCTAATCATCTAATCAGCTACTGCATTGTGTTTTTGTTAACACTACTAAAATCTAATTAACCTTGAGTTTGTTTTAATCTTATTAATAACACTATTACACCCTTTCAACATTGAATATGTATCATTTTCAGTATGGAGTTGTGGAAATTGTTGAATGTCATGGAAATCTTAAATTGATCTAAGTTAGATCGCCTGTGAGACACCGTTAAATACATACTTAGTAGTCTAAATACTAGGGTCCTGGGACCGATTCTCAGGTAACCAGTCTTGAATTCGCAGTGCTGAGAGCCCTGTTCTGAGACGAAACGACCATTCTAGGTTTTCCATGATGATCTAACTTAGATCAGTTCATGATTTCAATTAAATATATTTTTATTGGGAAAACTAATTCAGCAATAACATTTTCAGCTTTATACGTTTTCGACTTTAGTTTTCTTCCGATAGTTTATAATGAAAACAAAAATTGAGAATCGATCTCAGTTGCGTAGATTCACTCATTTTTCATAGAGTTTTATTCTTTGAACTGGATGGTTTGGTTTGTGCTGGTGATATCGTTTAGAAGGACGATGAAAGCTTCACGATCAAACCATCCAGCTCAGAGAAGGAAACTCCATCAAAATCACTCAGTTGATCTACAAATCTTGTCCACCATCTCAAATTCACTCAATTATTTATCACTCCTTTTCTTTGTCTTTCTTAAAATATTAAACTTAGTATCACTTCGTAAATTCTGTTCTTTTATTTAACTTATTATCATTATTTCACCAGCGTAACTTTTTATATTTTTACTATGTCTCTTTACAAATGTAGAATATAATCATCTGAATAGATATGTATTTGTGTAAGGACATACGTTATGATCAATTACACTCTCGCCAGAACTTCAACAATTGCGAAGACAAAAGAACCACAAAAAGTTAATTTCAACTTCACCTAACGATGATCCATTGATTGTCTATCTATCCTTAGTTCGATTGACAACAGTAGTAATAGTGACTTTATTAATAAGTTAAAACAGTCAGACAACTCTTTTTCTCTTTTAAATCATCTAGCTGTCAGTGGATGCACTATTCTTACTTACTTAATTACTAACTTACACTTTTTTCCCTCTTGGAGGAGCATAGGCCGTCCACAAGCGTTCTGCATCCAAGGCTGTCCTGGACAATCCCTTCCAGTTGCCATTTATCCTTTTCATGTCTACTTCCAATTCTTTGGCCTTCCTATTTTTTGTCTTCCATCAGGATTCCAAGTTAGCGCTTTCCTCGTGATAGAAATTGGGGATTTCCGGGAATGTATGTCCTATCCACTTCCTTCTTCTCTTCCTAATTTCCTGTTCAGCTATTGCATCCTAACTTGATTAAATCCACTTCTGAAATATTTGATTATTTCTAGAAACTATGAAAATACTAAGTCTCCACAGAATCCCTTTTGATTATAATCATATGGATCCGAGGGGGTTTTGTGGAGAATTTAGAAATTTCACAGTTGAAATCATGGTGGTGATCTAGCTTCAATTGAATCATGATTTCAACCGTGAAAGTACAATCATATGCTCATTAGTGACTGACTTCGAGTTTTAAATCCTGGAGTTCTAGTGAGAAGCAGTGACCATTGGAGTTCAAACCACGTTTGTTGTGAGATAGGAACTCACTGAAGACACTTGTGAAATGGTTGCTCAAATTCGTGGATTGGCTGAAGTTAGACATTAACACCTTTGAATGCCGACCATCTCAGTGGTCTAGTGGTTAAGCCCTCGCTTGCGAAACTGAAAGGTCCTGGTTCGGAATCTCGCGAGACGAGGTCATGGACGCTCACTGCTGAGAAGTCACACAATAGGACGAAACGTCCTTCCAGTGCTTCCAGGTTTTCAATGGTGGTCTAGCTTCAATTGACTCACTCTTTCAACTATGAAAATACTAAATCTCCACAAAACCCCTTCTAAATTTTAATACCATAAATAGTAAGTAAACAATAAGAAATTGGTTAGACAACAATAATTTACTTGTAAACTAATATATCACATAATGTCTGCTTATATTGACATACTTTAATTATGTACAATTCAACGTATATGTCAATAATGATTTCATATTCTACTATTTCATCATATTACATAATGATATTTCTTGTTGTATTGTGTTTTTTATGTTGAAATTGTTACAGTTTTACAAAAATCTATATAATTTAGGATGATATAATCATTTTGATAGTTGAGATCATGAGTCAATTGAAGGTGGACCACCATGGAAAACCTGGAATCACTGAACGGCCGTTTTGTCCTATTGTGAGACTCACTTCTCAGCAGTGCGCATCCACGATTCCGCACTCGCGAGATTCCAACCCAGGACCTACCAGTCTCGCACGCGAGCGCATAACCTCTAGACCACTGAGCCGGCGGCAAACTGTGTTGAATGTCTAGCTTCAACCAATCTACGAAATTGAGCATCCACTCACCAATGTCTTCAGTGAGTTGATACCTCCCAACAGACCTGGTTAAACTCGACTGGTCACCGTTGGATGCCGGCTCAGTGGTCTAGAGGTTAATTGTTCGCGTGCGGAATCGAAGGTTATGGATTCTAATTCCAGGTTGTGGGGTTGTGGACACATACTACTGAGGGGTCCGATACGTCGAAGCAATCGACACATAATGCTCATATACCAAACACGGTTGATCAAATACTAGTTAAAATATCTAACAACTGGATAATCCATATTATCTCAAATTATTGACTTTTGGTTAAGATTAACTTTACAACCATCCTAATTCATTCGACTATTACATTCACCCCATTATAAAAGCCAGTGGTTGTCTTGTCTAAGCAAAAAGTACTGGGTTCGAGCCTCGGGCTAAACATCAACTGAAGTGGCCTGAATAAGAAAAAAGAAACATCTTAAATTCTAATCCTTACCACTAACTATCTTTGCTTAAAATAATGGGATGATTCAAGTTTGTTTTCCATCATCTTAACTAACTTAACTAACATTCTAACAACCTATAACTGATTGATCATAAAATTATTATATTTAAAATTTAATATTTGGGCCAAAATTTTTTTTAAGATTATAACCATATCTTTAAATAATCAACTTGATGATGAGCAAAGACAGAAAGTGACTAGCAGTGGAATCCAGGACCTGCGTTTCGTCCCATTTTTGGGGACTCGCCAACTGGATTAACCTGCATCTCAGAGTTAGTGTTCATTTTGGGACTCGAACCCAGTACCTTTCACTTCAACCGCCATCATGTTATCCACTTAGCTACTGAGTCCTGATAGTCACTTGATTATGCAATGGGGTGAATTCAAATCAAACCAATTGTTATACGAAATGATATCCTGCATATAAATGAGTTATTCATTTTTAATTAATATTATTCATTTATTCATTTAAACACAAAAATATCGATACAAGGGGTACCAGATATATATGCGCCACACAAATCTCAATTGGTTTGTGTGAAGGCTGTGATACTGCCCAAGTGTCCAAACTGAAGCAGGTGGTTTTCTTAGGGCGCCACACCCGAGGCCTTTAACCTAAAGATTTGATCCACAAGGCAGTGGAGCATCGTGAGGAGATGCAATCCCATGGTAGCCGGTGACTCACGATTTTTTCATACGCCATTCGTTCCTTCAGGATACCGGAACCCATGTGCACCATTGGCTTGGAATCAGGGTTTTTCAACTACCCTAAGTGAACTTTCCGTGTCCATCAACCCGGTCAAAGTGTCGGACATTTGCTTTTCGTCCTCTCAATTTCGTAAAAAACACCGGTGCCACGTGAAGGTAGTTAGTAGGACTTCTTTGGCAGAAGCTATATACGCGTGGCCATGTGAGCATTTGGAGAGAGAGAGCGGACTCTCTCCACTCTTAGCCGTACCAGGGCATTTGGAGGCCAATAGCTATATGACCACTACAAGTAGATATGTAATCTAGCTTTTTTATAATGCACTAATGAAACATTGTATCTAAGCTAACATGGACATGGGGTTAGCTACCCATCCCTTAGAAAACTAACTCCCTAAAAAAAGATGCTAACCAGAAAATCTAAACTACTTATAATAAATAATAATTTCAATATTGATAAATAAACATTTGAATTTTCATTTATTTATATTGTCCCGCTTTTTTTCTTTTTTCTCTTTGTTACTATGCTGATTATAATTTAGTTAGCCAATCTATTTTTAATTGGTTCACCATTAGCATTATTTATATCAGTGAATGATTTATGTCCACCAACATATATTAATCCATCAAATAGTAATTCATTACAATCAAATCATTCTAGTGATGATGAACAGGATTCAACAAGTTATTCCCATTCAGGATTACATAGTATTACCTCGACAACATCAACATCTAAACATGCAGGTATTGATTTAGATGAAACTGATCCTGAAGCATTATTTTCATATTTTGCATGTCGAAGAGTATTCAATATATTTCATTCATATGATCCAGTGGTAAGTATATATATATGTACATAACATTTAATTCTGATAATAATAATAATATGCTCACTAGTGACTGACTTCTAGAGGCAAATCCTAGAGTTCTAGTGAGAAACAATGACCAGTGGAGTGCAAAACACGTCTGTTGTGAGATAGGAACTCACTGGTGACAATTGGTGACAATTGGTTGATCAACTTCGAGGATTGATTGGAATTAGACAAAAACACCATTGGAGGCCGGCTCAGTAGTCTATCGGTTAAGTGCTTTGGCGCGAGACTGGTAGGTCATGGGTTGGAATCTCGCGAGACGAGGTCGTGGATGAGCACTGCTGAAGAGTCTCACAATAGGAGGAAACGGTCGTCCAGTTCTTTCAGGTTTTCCTTGATGGTCTAGCTTCAATCGACTCACACTTGCAACTATGAGAATTTAATTCATGGTTAATTATTTTGGTATAGTTTGTAATGTAACACAAGTGTATCTGTGCATTTTTCATCATGGAGTGAACTTATGTAGCCCATGACTGAAAACTAGGAAGCGCTCGACAACTGTTATGTCCCGGAATATGAAACTATTCAATAGTGAGCGGTTGATATTAATTTGATAGAAAACCATTTCTATCTATTGTTTCCGGTCAGTTTTTGTCTTACTCCATCCAATGCAACCCAGTGTCTTGTTATGATAAGAATCATTTTGAAACTGTTGAAATTCTTGAATTGAATAATATCTCCAACAGATGAACACTTGTTCGAAATTTTTTTGTAGATGGAAAAAGTATCTTTGAATAGGGAAACGTTTTTCTATTCCATGAATCTTCGTATCATATCCAACAGGTTTATCATTCAAAGGTTTTATAGGGATCCACATCAATATGGATCTATAAACCCGCTTGTTCTTGTGAGGTAGGTTACATTGCATGTATACACAGAACGCTTCTAAAATTCATCTTATAATATTATGTGAAATGGCTTTTAACAGGAGAAATCATAACAGTCAACAGTTTAATTCTGGAATATTTCATCAATTCAGGTCATCCTACTCCATTAGAATTGTCTTTCGAAATAATCTACACATCCAAAAAAGCAGAGTCAATAAGAGTACATTCACTTTACTTCATCACATAGTTCACTTCGTTTTTTTTCTTTTCAATAAACTACTATATCGAGGCAATACGCACAGTATGCACATATGCCAATTAGAAACTTACCAGTTGCAGTCCTAACAAATCGATGGGAAGATTCAAACAAACAATATCAAATGAATTTATACTTCACCCCATTCCACTAGCAAGTGGCTATTAGGACTCAGTATCCAAGTGGATAACGTGATGGTATTAGGTATTGGGTATTGGGTTTGAGTCTTAGAGTGAACATCAACTCTGAGATTCAGTTTTATCCAGTTGATTAGTCCTAAATAAGACGAAACGATAGTTTTGGTTTCCACTACTAGCTACTATCCATCTTCGCTTACAATGTTTGTAAATTAGGTCTATATCGTGGTAATACACACCGTATACATATATGGCCAATAAGAAAGATTGACCAATTGTAGTCCTAAAAACTTCAATGAGAAGATTTAAATTAACAATACTAAGTGAACTACTATTTTTTCTAAATCATTACTAGTAAGATTGTACAATTTCAATGAATAATACCTAACTCATTAAAGTATATTCAACTCTTCTCTTAGATATGTTATTACTATTTCTTCTTATATCTATTGAACATTTAGTATCATATTAGTATCATTATTGATCATTTAAAGTACAGACTATTTCCGCTTTTTAAATCATTTAGGTCAAATGACATGTCTCTTAATTAAAAGTTATTACATTATAATTTACTGATTAGAATTAAGGACAATTTACATTAGGAATTTGTTTAAAATAACTAAGATCAGAAGAGGTTTTTATGGATATGATAATAATTTTAATAGTTGAGATCATGAGTTAATTGAAGCTGGACCATCATGGAAAATCTGGAAGTATTGGATGGCCGTTTCGTCCTATTGTGGAATTCCTCATGATCTCAAATATTAAAATTACTAGAATATTCAGAAAAACCCCGTCTAATATTAATCAACATACGCTTACTGGTGACTAACTTCAAGAGGTATTTCCTGGAGTTCTAGTGAGAAGCAGTGATCAGTGGAGTTCAACTGGGTGTGTTGGGAGATATTAACTGACTGGAGACATATGGTGGATGTGTCGCTCGATTTCGTGGATCAGTTGAAGTTAGACACCGCTAGATGCCAACCACCTCAATGTCTAGAGGTTAAGCGTTCACGCGCTAGACCGATAGGTCCTGGGTTCAAATCTCGTGGGGCGGGATCGTGGATTTGCACTACTGAGGAGTCCCATAACGGCCGTCCAATGCTTCCAAGTTTTCCATGGTAGTCCAGCTTCAATTGACTCATGATCTCAACTTTTAAAATAATTGAACTTGAGTAACCGTTTCATGAGATTTGGTTAAACTAAGCAAGGTATGATTTTCTGGTAAATTATTCTAAGTTTTTTGATTGAGAACACAAATGGAGACAATAGAATGTAATGAAATACAAAATTATAGAATCTCATAGTATAATCTGAGAACTATACAGTAAATACTTCATTTACAAAATATCAATCAGTCGTCTCACACTACACTGTCCCTTCATTTCCACACTAACCATTCTCTATTCTCATTCTCTTTTCTTTGATCTTCTTGACCTTCTGCCTCCAGGCATTTCACTTTCAATTGATGATACATATTACTTATATCTGTCGACATCAGGAACACACACCATACAAGTACTAAAGGTTGAATATTTTACAATATATGTTAAATAATTTTCTTTCAAAACATGGTTCAAATTCATTCATTCATCCATTACTTACTTACACCTGTTACTTCCAATGGAGCATTGGCCGCCGACCAGCATTCTCCAACCTATTCATAATGAAATAAAAACTAAAGTGAAAGATTGTCTTATGTAGGAGTTATGAACATTTAGATTCTATATATGGTAAAAGTACTCTAATGAACTGTATAGTCTTTTCCATATCTTCTTGAATATATTAAACATGATAAGAAACTTCATTATATATTTGAGACGTTGAAATACTCTCTTGATTAATTAGTTGGTCAACTTAATATTTGTCGATCACCATTCTTTATTTTGACATATATCAAGTATTCATACAACTTGACCCTGTCTAACTATATTCTTCAAGTATTAAATATATCCTTTCAGTAGTTTGTTATTTGCCAAAACATTTTGGAAAATCACATATCTGGTATTTTCATAGTTGAAAACATGAGTCAATTGAAGCTAGAACACCATGGGAAACCTGGAAGAACTGGATGATCATTTCGTCCTATTGTGGAACTCCTCGGCGGTGCGCACCCACGATCACATTTCGTGAGATTCAAACCCAGGACCTATCAGTCTCGCGCCAGAGCACTTAAGCAATAGACCACTGAGCTGGCCGGCATCCGATGGTGTTAATGTCTAAGTTTAATCAATTTCAAGAAGTTGAGCAACCATTCACCAATTGTCTTCAATTGTCTTCACAACAGACGAGATTTGAACTTCACTGGTCACTGCTTCTCACTAGAATTTCAGGAATTATCTCTTAAAGTCAGTTACTAATGAGCATATGATTATAATCAGAAGGGGTTTGTGTAGAGATTTCAATCGTTTCATAGTTGAAAGCATAAGTTAATCGAATGTAACAGAAGTCCAGTTCTTCCAGCTTTTCCTTGGTGATCTACCTTCAATTGACTCATACTTTCAATTATCTGTTTTTTTATTGACTGATTATTAACAATACCAATGAATCAATTCATGTTTAGTATATTAGTCCAACTTCTTTTGTAATCATAAGTTATATACGAAATAACAGTTTTTTTTTGTTTGTAAATATGTCACCAATGATGCATAAAACTAAAAAAAAATTGAGGGTTTTTTCTTCTTGATTCCACCTAGTAACAATAATAATAATAATAATAATAATGGTAATAGTAGTCTTAATGGTAATAATAATAGTAGTAGTAATGGTAATGGTAATAGTAATAGTAATGGTAGTAATAATAATAAGATCAGCTTTCCTTCTATTGTCAGTCATATGCTTTCAGCTGTTTTAAATATAAAAAAAAAAAGAAAAGAAGAAACTATCACCAAATATTCTCATTAAAAGAATAGCATAGCAACAACAATATTAGTAAGAATATTTGATGTGTAGCATAGAATTACGTAATACAATTTAATTCAATAAATAGATATGATCACATATAATGAATAGTCATTTGATTCATTTATACTTACTTATATAAGTCATTGTCACAATGGATAGTATCTTATGGTTATATTAGTGTGTGTGTGTGTATAAGGAGTAAGTGATTAGATTGGATTTAATTTTCAATATTTTTCAGTGTTTACAATTAGTCTAGTCAAATGAATGAATAAATTTTTATACTAATTCAATTTTTTGATTATTAAGGAAGTTGAGATCATGAATCAATTAAAGCTGGACTATCATGGGAAACCTGGAATCACTGGACAACTGTTTCGTCCTATTGTGCGACTCTTCAGCTGTACGCATCCACGATCCCATCTGGAGAGATTTGAAACCAGGACCTGTCAGTTTAGCGCGCGTGCGATTAACCTCCAGGTTTTCCATGGTTATCTAGCTTTAATTGATTCATGATCACAACTATTAAAATCATTATAATATCCACAAAATCCCTTCTGATGTTAAGGAAGTGTTGATAAATAAGGATATATATAGTTACAGAAAACAAGTCTGCATATTACACTCTGAGCTTATTCTATTAGAGGAGTTGATTCTGTTCAGTTACTCAGGTTGAAGTAGATGAACTGTAGGACAGTTTCAACCTTTGACATACTGATTAAAAGGCTAGATGAATGTGTTAGTAAATAAACTATAGATATATTATCTCGATTGTAGTAAAATGATGGTTATACATATGCATGAAATTATCTTAGCTAGATTACCAGAAATCCTTTATATTCATAGTAATCACGTTCTCACTGATGATTACTTTCAAGATCTAAATCCTCGAGTTTTGGTGAAAAACTGTGACTAGCACAGTTCAATCCCTGTTAGGTGTGACATAACTATCTACCACAGATAATGGATGAATATTGTGAAATTACGAGAATTGTTTGAAGTTAGATATCAAGACCGTTGTATTCTAATTCAGTGGGCCAGAGATTAGGTGTTCACGTACAAAATAGAAAATTTTGAGTCCGATCCGCAGGGTTTTGGTCATGAGTTCACAGTGCTGGGAGTCGCATATTCGAACGAAACAGCTATCCAGTCCTCACAAGCTTGAATAATGGTCTATCTAAGATCTATTTGTAATTTAAGCTGTGGAAATAATAGTTTCTAAGTTAGTGACAAATTAATTTGGAAGTAAAAGATGTGACCAATTAATTTTATCATCTATACTATAATGATTAGAATTGTTGCTGAAAAAGATATAATGCTAGTTTAGTGGCGAGTCACTATTCAATTGTGGTAATGTCTAACTTCAATCGACCCATGATCATGCGCAACCCTTCATCCACTGTCTGAGTTAGATAACTGTCAAGAAGTTAGGCGTTTGCGAACGAAACCAAAGTTCCTTGGTCCGAGTCCCATGTTCAGCAACTTTGATGCTCTCTACTAAGGAGTCCTATACTAGGACGAAACAGCCGTTCAGTGCCTCCAGGTTTTCCATGGTGGTCTAGCTTCAATCGACTTATAATTTCAACTATGAAAATGCTGAAATACCTACAAAAACCCATTCTGATCTAAAAAAAGATTCCTTTATGATAAATTTTTAAAGCAAAAGAGAATTAAATTCACTTGATATTGTTTGGTTGAATCTTCCCATTGATGTTTAGGACTGCAATCGATCAGTCTCTTATTGGTCATGAATCACTTAAAGCCGAACTATCATGGAAAACCTGGAAGCACTGGACGGCCATTTCGTCCCATTGTGGGACGCCTCAGTAGTGCACATTCACGATTCCGCACATCGGACTCCAACCTAGGACCTTCGGTCATGTTTGTGAACCCTTAAACTCCAGAAAAATGAGCCACCATTCAACAGTGTTACTGTCTAACTTCAATCGATCCATGATCTTGCGCAAGCATTCATCCATTGTCTGAGGTGGATAACTGTCTCATAATCGACATTGATTGAACCACACTGGTCACGGCTTGTCACTTGAACTCCAAGAAATCATCTTGAAAGCAGTCCCTAGTGAGCACAAGATGATTATGACCAGAATGAGGGTTTATGGATATTGTAGTAATTTTTAATATTTGAATTTATTTCTAACTGAAGAAATTACTTTTCTGATAATCAAGTGTGATGTATATATAGAGAGAGAACCTTGCAACTAAACCATATAATTCATATAATGTGAAATGTATTAAAATTACCTTTCATCAACTACAAACTTACGTTTGATCTTTAAAGAAAGTATTACAATGATGAATAAGTAGACAATGATTTACATCTATTGTTAACTTTTATCCAAAATATGAAATCGTTTACTCAAGTAACTCAAATGACATCAGAAACTGGTCGAATTCAATTCTATATATTAAGCGTTTCTAAGTAATAATATTCACATCACCTTGGCATTTGAAATGTTAGGTACTAAATCCAAGTCTTAATGTAGACATTAACACTAAAATGTAAACACATCCAGCTGAATTTAGTCTTAGATTCAACTTACATCCATTTTTCAATGACGTACAACCAGATATCTAGTTTATTTTATTTTATTTAAACACATAAATATGGGTACAAAGTAGCACCAGATATATATGCGCCACACAAATCTCATTTGGTTTGTGTGAAAGCTGTGATACTGCCCAAGTGCCCAAACTGAAGCAGGTGGTTTTCTTAGGGGGCCATACCCCGAGCCTTTATCCTAAAGATTTGATTCACAAGGCAGTGGAGCATCGTGAGTAGTTGAAGTCCCATGGTAGCCGGTGATCAACGATTGATTCATATGCCATTTGTTCCCTCAGGATACTGGAGTCCATGTGCACCATTGGTTTGGAATCAGGGTTTCCTAACTCCCCTAGGTGGACTTTCCGTGTCCGCCAACCCGGTTAAAGCACTGGATATTCTCTTTTAGTCCCCTCAATTTCGTAAACAACACCGCCGACACGAGAAGGCAGTGGGTAGGACTTTCCTGGCAGAGGTTATATACGCGTGTCCATGTGAAAGGATTTGTAGTGGGAGAGCGGACTCTCTCCACTCTCAACCGTATCAGGGCATTTAGGAGGGTCTAATATCTAGTAAGTAGTATATTATCTCATTTCACAAATCAAATTGGACAATTCACATAAATGCTGTTTTTAATTTTTTTTTTCCATGTTTCTCTTTTTTATTTCAAGGCATATCGTTTAGAACCAATATTATTGAAACACTATGCTAATATTAGTCCTGTTGTAATACCGAAAGCATCAATTAATCATTTAGAAAAGTGTTTATCTATTAAAGATATTTCACTTATTAATAATAATAATAATAATAAATCAAACCAATCAGATTGTAATAGTCAAACAGCAACTTTAAAAGGTTCCAATTCATCATTAGCAGCAATTGATGAAATTGAATCAACACATTCTGTGCATACATTGGATTTATCTGATTCCGACAGTGATTCATCTGATTTATCATTAAATGGTGGCAGTGGTATCAATGGTTCTGATAATAAAGAACAAAAAAGGAAAGTATGTAAATTAGGTTTTCAAGAGAAGCTGAAAACCTATTTATTTCATTTTCATGTTTTATATATACATGCATCATATTCTTTCTAAATTATTTCTTATTTATGGTAGTACATGTATTCTATAGAGGTATGAAGGCAGTTATTAGTACTCAGTTGCCCACACCGTGAAAGGATTCTTCTAGAGGTATCTGAAAAGGGAATTTGGATTAGAAGTGATCTTAATGACCTGAGAGCGTGACCGCAGTACCCAAGGGCCAACTGCTTGATGTCGGTCGCACACGACTTTTTTGTGGGTAATTTTTGTATCATCTCCGTACTTTTTGGGACCTTACTGCCAGAGACGGATATCCATGGGATAAGGCAAAGTGTGCATTTTTAGGGTCGACCATTCTTAACCCCACCCCTCCTTGTGGGAAGACAGCATCGCTGTTATGCTGGTTGTTTGGAGGAAACACCTTACTGCCATCACACCTCTGTACAGTCAGCAGTACGACTTCGCCTTCGGATCTTAGTTTGCTGCTTTTGGTCTTACCGCTCTTCAAACGACCTGTCTGGCATGGTAGGACCTTGAGGAACGATTGTTCCAGCCAGTATAGCTCGATCGGTTCATCACGATAGGCGAGCCTGACCACCACATCAAGGTAGCAGCAATGGTCAATCGATCACAATGGCGCAGGTGTATACACTCTTAATCTTCCATTAAACCTTGAAATTAAAATTGCTTCATATCTGTCTTTCTTCCTGTACTGTATCCTTATATACAACCTTTCTTTTATATATTACCACTAGTAAATTAACTACTTCTATGAATTTAGTGTTCATCTTGTTGTGCTAACGAGGTATTACGATTTGAACCGATGCATATATGTGCCTGGTCCTACGTTGTAGATGACTGACAAACTGACATGTGTTCTATCATGTTTCGTTTTTCAGGATATCATTCAAAGTGTTTTAAAGGTCAAGCTATTTAGCTGCCTCAAATGTTTACATCATGTTTTCTCTCCTTGATTAGTTGACATCTTGAGAACGGAAAGAAATACTGTAGGGGTTCTCTCACGAGTAACGATAGTAGTTCAGTGTGGTATGTGAATCAATAATCAGAAACTTAAAGACAGTTTCTGTTAATATTCAAAACGTGTTGTTGTTTATTTGTTTGAGAAACTATGTGCTTATAAGGGGGTTACAACTTTCATCTTTTGGCAGTAGTAAGATTTGGTCAATTCAGCTGATATTCAGTTTTTTTAGATAGATTGCCTTGTTATAACGGCTAAAAGTGGAATCCGGGAAGCGTATTTCATCTTTGAGACTGAGACTCGCATTAGCAAGACTAGCCATATTGCAACTCAATTGATTGAACTCGACCAACTCCAGAGAACTAGACGAACATGAAATCGATCATTACTCAGTGACTAAATTTTAAACTGTACTTGATTATTGAACAGAATTCTCTGAGAGTTTTATGTACTGTTGGTTCAATGATTTATAGTTATATAATATACTCTTATGGGCCAGGGTAATTTTGCACTGGTTTTCAGGAGAACCACACACCATCCAGACTTTCACGCGACAACTCAAACAGTACAGCTCAATCCCGTTTAACGGGAGAGCCAAACACTGCCTAGGCTTAACCTAAGCAGTACAGCTCAATCCCGTTTCATGGGAGAACCAGACACTATATGAGGGTTCAATGATTAATTCAATCGAATTTCAACCATATTGAGTTACCGATTTAAATCTCACTACTGGTACTCCAATTTAGATCATCTAGTGTAATAATATACCTATTATACATAATGCATTAGGCCGAAATAAACCATATAAACTTGATCTTAATCTTATGGGTTACACTTCATTTGAGTGCTGGTATCAGAACATTATCTTTTTGAACGACTAAATTGATATCCGTCAGTTTGTACTCTTCAAATTCAAACTTGATGTGATATAATAGTTCTTTCTCGTTGTACATCTGGTTTACCTTGATAATCAACCACTTCTCAACAAGACTTTAATAGTTTCGTTACTAAAATAATAAGTTTGTTACTTCCATCCGAAGTTTGTGCTGATGATGTCGTTCAGAAGGACGATGAAAGCTCTACGCCTAAACCATGCAGCTCAGAGAACAAACCTACATCAAAATCATCCAGCTGAGCTACAAATCTTCTCCACCATCTCAAAATCATACGAATTTGTTACTATTCAATCATACTCTTGTGTTTGTCTTTCTTTTAATGTATAGATTAATATTATATATGACTCATTATGTAACTATTTATGTATTTATTTTTGTTTTGTTTTTTCGGTTTCAAGTTTTTCAAACGTTTAAGTGTTGTGGATGAAAATTCTGTTTATAAACAACATCAATCATTAGCAAGTAAGATCTATTCCAATGATTGAGTTGCTATGCTGTTTTATCTTCTTGTGAATGCGGCATTTTTTTTAGCAGATCAATCAGTTGATCAATGTTACTTGATAAATTGGTTACTCGTTTAAGTAAAATATCTTAATACTGTGTTTAAATAATGAACTGATTTGAAAGTTACTTACTTACTTACTTTAGCCTGTTACCCCTCGTGGAGGAGTATAGGCCGTACACTAGCATTCTCCATCCAACTCCGTCCTGGGCAATCCTTTCCAGTTTTTTCGAGTTAACATTCATTCTTTTCATATCTGCTTCTATTTCCCGGCGTAATGTGTTCTTTGGTCTTTCTCTTTTCCGCTTTCCTTCACCATTCCAAGTTAGGGATTGCCTCGTGATGAAGTTTGGTGATTTCCTTTATGTATATGCGATCCACTTCCAATGTCTTTTCTCAATTTCTTCAACTGGAAGCTGGTTTGTCCTCTCCCATAAAACGCTGTTGCTGATAGTATCCGGCCAATGCGTGTTGAGTATTTTGCGTAGACAACTGTTTATAAATACTTGTACCTTCTTGATGATAGTTGTACTAGTTCTTCACGTTTCAGCTTCGTACAGTAGGACGGTCTTGACGTTCGTATTGAAAATTCTCACTTTGAAATTAGTTGACAGATGTTTTGAGTTTCATATGTTCTTCAATTATAGAAATGCGATCCTTGCTTTGTCAACCCTAGTTTTTACATCTGCATCCGATTATCCTTGTTCATCGATGATGCTTCCATGGTACGTGAATGACTTCATCTCTTCTAGAATTTCTCCATCAAGTGTGATTGGGTTGGTGTTCTCCGTGTTTTATTTAAGTATCTCGCTTTTTCCATTGCGTATGCTGAGGCCTATTTATGCAGAGGCTGCTGCTACATTTGCTGTCTTCGTCTGTATTTGTTCGTGTGTATGAGATAGGGGAGTTAAGTTATCTGCGAAGTCCAATTCGTTTAGTTGATTCTGAGATATCCATTGTATTTCATGCATCCTTTCAGATGTTGAGGTCTTCATAATCCAGTCAATCACCAGAAGAAAAAGGAATGGGGAGAGCAGACAGCCTTGTCTGACTCCGGTCCTTACTGGAAATGCATCTGTCATTTGTCCGTCGTATGAGTTCCGGATAATGTTGACAATCTTCAGATGGACTCCATAGTGTCGAAGAAGTTTCCACAATGTTCTCTGGTTAACACTGTCAAACGCCTTTGTAAGTGATATCTATTAAAAACTGACTTCAGATGTTTTGCTATAATAATCCAGAAAATACTAGACAGTTGTCTCATTTTACTATGAGGATCTTCAGACAAATGTATCCACAGCGGGAGTTAACTAAATACCTTCGGGTCTCGTAGAGATCAATTTTTGATTTGTATCAATACTTGAAATGGTACAACGATAATTCAAAACTATTAAAAGTGATCCTTTCACTCCAGGTGTAGCTAAACTACACTAGCCGCATCTTCCAAGAACAAATTGAAGTATTCGCTTCAGAAATTGAAGGTCTTTGGTTCAATTCCTGATGATATCACTTATGCTCATTTTTAATTAGTTTATTATTAGAACAAACCACCTATCCAGTACTTTCTCGGTTTTAATCTGTGACGGGCATCGCTTACAAAATAATGAAGTATTCTTCACTGGACTGTTCTAACGAATGTCAGATGAAAAGGCAATAAAAAGAACGAAGAAACACTGAAGAGCCTTTTAGTTGAAGTTGATTCATCTTCAACAATCCGCAAATTTCAAACATTCATGTCTCTGGGTTGTAGTTTTGTGAAGTATTCACATAACTAAAATACAAATTTCATCATCAACTTAATCATTATTGCGCACTGCTGAGGAGTCTCACAATAGGACGAAACGGCTGTCCAATGCTTCCAGGTTTTCCATGGTGGTCTAACTTCAATTCACTCATGATCTCGACTACATAAAATTACTATAATCTCCACAAAAACCCCCTTCTATTAATCATTATTCTTTGAAGATGGTTTATCAGAATTTAAATAATCCCTCTTAAAGGATGACATTTTGTAATGTAAGGACTAAAGAGGTTACACATCAACAAGATTTTATGATTATCCCACTGTATTACAAACTGATTGACATTTCTTGTATACATTAAGTAATTATGTTATATCGAGTGCATGCGTACGTACCCTGTTAAATATATGATGTGATGATTCCTGCCAATCAGAGAGGAGTGAGTTATCGATCAGAGCAATGATGTACGAAAACCGTACGAGCAGTATTCGGTACGTATCTTTTCTGCTTTCTGCCCAGCCCAGCCAGTTAATTCCAGAACCGCCTCTGCAATATGAATCATTTATTTCAAAACATACAGAGTTTATATACCAACCAGGCAGACCTCATCGTACCATAAAATAGGAAACAACATTTATACGAAATTTGGCTAAATGTGGCAGTGAATAGGGGGAACAGTAATCAATAGATTAGGGATAACTAAAGAATGGCAAATCGTATAATAGTAGTCTATAAGTGAAAATAAAGCTTATAATAAGAGGGACACAAATATGAATAGTTTAGTTACTTAACAATTATACAATAGGAAATATACATATCATATTGCTCCATAAATAGTTCTCGAAGTTACTATTCATAACTATGGTCGGGATATAACAAATTAGGGCTTGATTGTTTAACTGTATCTTCATTACTGATCAATCTTAAGATCCTAAGTTTCACTGAATATTGAACTGTGAATTTGTTTACTCTCTTCCTACCAAAGCTAGAAGATGGACTACTTGATGAAGCTATTAAGAAGTTTGATCGTTTTAAATATGTACAATTCTCCTTACCACAAAATTGCAAAGTGGTTAGTGCGAATCTTAGAGCGTTTGCACAAATTAGTTGTTAGAATAAGTGTAAAAGATGTATTTGATGTCACTTCCAAAGTGGAAAATATGAATGTTGACATGAAAAATATGTTCTCACTGAATGTAGTATCTTTGTTTACCAACGTACCATTTATTGAGATTATTGAGTTTATATGCAAACAAATATCAGATAAACAAATCAACATTGGCTTGTTTGAAGATCGTTTGGAGGAATCGCTCTTAAGATGTACGATTAATGTTCATTTTGTCTTCAACAATACTTATTATAGACAAAGAGACAGGATAACCATAGGCTCCCCTCTAGGCACGTTTCAAGAATAGAATAGTTATGTATTCTTTTCTATTTCTTATTAATAACTTTCCAGTTAATATCTATTCATAGGTGTAGATTGTTGGTAAATTACTTCACTACAATTATAACTATTTAAAGAAATAAATATTATATTGGTTGAAATCATAAGTCAGTTGAAGCTAGACCATCATGGAAAACCTGGAAGCACTAGACGACCGTTTCGTCCTATTGTGGAACTCCTCAACAATGCGCATTCACGATTCCGACTCACCAGATTTGAACCCAGGACCTATCAGTCTCGCGCGGGAGCACTGGGTTCGAATCTCACGAAGTGAGATCGTGGATGTGCACTTTTGAGGAGTTCCACAATAAGACGAAACGGTGGTCTAGTGCTTCCAGGTTTTCCATGGTGGTCTAGCTTCAATTGACTTATGATTTGAACTATATAAATTACTAAAACCTCCACAAAACCCCCTTCTGAAAATAAATATTAAATAGCCATATTAAAAAGAGTGATTTCTAGTTGTTGATAGACATTAAAAGAAGAAACAACTACCTCAAATTGTCATGAGTTCTAATGATCACATTGTCAATCAATATATCTTAAGAAATTAAAATAGCTGGAAACCATAGTACTTTTATTCATTAAAAGTTTATTAAATACTTTAATATTTGATTCAATTCACTGACATCTGATAACTATACAGTAAAAAGTTAATTTGCAAACTATCAATCAATTATAAGGGAAGATGGATAGTGTCTAGCAGTGGAATTCAGTTTGACGCACGTTTCGTCCTATTTTGGACTCGTCAGCTGGATGTACCCGCATCTTAGAGTTGATGTTCACTTTGAGACTCTAACCAAGTACTATTCGCTTCAAACGCTGTCGTGTTATTCACTCAGCTACTGAGTCCTGATAGCTACTTGCTTATGCAAACAATCAAATGTCTCAATCTTCACTGTTCCTTCTGCAAATATCAATCCATCGTCTCCGATTATTATTATTATTATTATTCATACATTTTCATACCAATTGCGTTCCGTTCCGGTTCTTTCCTTATCGATCTTCTATTGTAATACATTCTATGCCTGACCATCACCATATATTACTTATGTGAATATAAGTAACTCACATCATAATAGACGTGGATTTACAAAGTCTTTCCCCGAAACAATACCGATTATAGTAGTACATTTTAAATTAATGTGGGTGGAAGATATTTTCTTTACTAGAAAAAAAAAAATACTAAATTGTAAACATAACAGAATGTTCTTAGATTGTCAATTTAGAAATGTTGTTGTGATTCATTCTAAAAAAAAAAAAAAAAAAAAACTGGTTCACAACACGAATTAGACAATTATTGAACATTAGAAAAACTCTGAATAGATTTTTGTCTTAGTTAAAAATTCTCAGTTTGCATGTAGTTATAATCCCATTTAAAATTCAAACTTCACATTCTAAAGATAATCCATTCAGTGAGAGAGTCTTAAAGATGTTAGATTTTTTTTTATAAAAATTATCTTCAAACTACTGATTAAATCTTTATCAGTAGTAAATTTTCATTACAATATCAAAATTCTACACATTTTTATGAAACTAATAATTGAAACTTCATTGGAAATTTCATTATTCCCAATCAAAATAGACGTAATTCATCCTGATAGACATGCTAATCTCAAATGATATCAACCATGTTATTATTTTAACTTTGATAGTTCAACTCCATTTTTACTGTTACTGATATCTCATAGTGAATAGTTTTAGGATAAATCTCGTCTCTTAGTATTATCATTAAATCTTCCTAATGAATATACAAATTGTTATGACTCGTATAACAATCGTTATTGTATATGAAACGTGCAATGATACAGAAAATACGTACGAGCAGTCTTGATTGCTATTCGGTCCTTCCTAACTGCCTAGCCCAGCCAGTTGAGTCCAGAACACAAATAACAGCCTCGGAAATATGAATCATTATTCACAAGCACACTGGGTTATATATACTAACCAAACAGACCCAATTATACCAAAAAATAGAAAAATAACATTTGTACAGTAATTAGCCAATGTGGCTGTAGCTAGGGGGAAAGTAATCAATAATAATAGTTCCAAGGTCAAAACAAAGGTTGTGATAAGAGGAACACGGAAACGATTAGGTCACTTATTTAACAACTATCCAATAGGGAATGGGCATATTGTATTTGTCCATAAATAGACATCAGATTTAGGTTACTCATTTAACAACTATCCAATAGGAATAGGCGTATTACATTTGTTCATAAATGGACATCAGATTTATGATTCATAATTCGCCAGGGGATACAACACAAATAATAGAAGTTTAAAATAAATGTTCAATCCTCAGTCATTACACTTTTTTCAAATATTCAACAAGATATGGTCTGTTACATAATGATAATGAAAAGGTTTATACTAACACTGAATAAGTGATAAAAACGATTCAATAATCATATAATATTTTCATTGTTGAAATCATGAGTCAATTGAAGCTAGACCACCATGGAAAACATGGAAGCACTGGAGGATCATTTCGTTCTATTGTGGGACTCCTCAGCAGCGCACATTCACGATCTCACCTCACCAGATTGGAACCCAGGATCTACCAGTCTCGCGCTAAAGCACTTAACTGATAGACCACTGAGCCGCCGGGCATCCAACGGCGTTAATGTCTAACTTTAATTGACTCATGATTTCAACTACAAAAATGCTGAAATCTCTACAAAACCCCTTCATATCATATAATAAATTTGTAGATATCCCAATGAAATAGAAAAATTAGATTTTCTAACGTTTCGTCACTCAACATAGTTCACTTCTTCAGAGAATCAACAATGTAATCAAAACAATTCAAGTTTCAATAGTACAAAGGAACAACATGTAAATGATAAGCCTTTTTTGAAGTGATTCAATTATATCCTATGATATCAGTAAAGAAGTAGACGAGACTATAATTTATGAACGACCTTTGAACGAATCTTAAGTGACCATGAGAAATGTTATCCAATCATTAGACTGTCAGCATACAGTAAAAATGTATTATACAAAACCAAATAATTAAAGTGGATACACTTCTTTTATATGGTCCAAAAACTTATCAAGGTTAGAAAAAGATTCAAAGGTTCCGAAATCGTAATGTATACGGTAGAGGAACTCATCCATATGGCTCCATAATAGTTGGTCTCTGGAGCCATGATAAGGTCGCAAATTTCTCTCAGCCTCGACCACATAGCTTCAATATTGTTTGTGTGTACTACGGTTGTGTCAGTTTATCATTTTTATTATGGACATGTCTCTACAATACTCATACCACTGAACAGCCGAAACTTCAGTAACATCTGCAAATATTCCAACAAATGTTACTGGTGCTTTTATTATACAGTTGGCGGCAATTATTATAATATGCCTTAGTCTCAATCTGTATCGAGCAATAAAGGTTCCTATTCTAGCAAACGTCTTCTTTCAACATATGTTACATCGAGGGACAACATCACGGTAGTCTGCTCAACGTCTACAAGTCATTAATTACTCGTAATTACAAATACAGTAACATCCTAGTAGTTTCATTTGTTGTAGCCACTTAGTTGTCAAGTCTTCTCTAAAATTCTCTGTGAACCGATCGTACATGAGCATGTGGTACTGAAATTGTCTCCGTGACCTTGAAATCCCTCAAAAAACGCTTCTGATTGGCTCGTCCATAAATGATAGTCTCGTCAAGTAGTATTCCTTCATTGATAAATTACATAATGAGTTAACTTATTATTATTCTTCTTCTTCTTCTTCAATGTTCCCTTTTTTTCTTTTTTTTTTTCGTTTTAGTGAAAATATTCAGTAATTATATCACTAGACGATCATCTAATGTAACTAATTTAAATCCAATATTATGTGAAATGAGATCAATGCCAAAATCAAATGAAAAACAATTAAAACGTCGTATTGATTATGAATGGCAAAAATCATTTTCACCATTAGCTATATTAGGTGCACATAATAGTTATTGGAGTAGTCATGAAGTAGCATTTTTTATGCTTTATCAAATATTTGGTCCACCACATTCCCTTCGTTAAACTATAGATAGATAGATAGATGGTTAGATGGTTAAATGGTTAGATGAATATGCATATCTATACATGGAGAGGTAATCTTCTCATTTTTATTTTTTTTTACTTTTTCATCTCATACATAATGCATTTGTTGATTTGCCTAGATACTTGGAAATATTCTATATATATATATTTTTTGTTTTTTTCCATACACTGAATTTTTTTTTCATTTTTAAATCACGGAAAACATTTTCATCTTTGCTCGTTTCCTTTTTTGTTGTTGAAAAGAAACCCCATCCCACCCCCTCCTAATCAATATTTTTTTATTTTATAAAAATATATCATTGATTAATTAATTTATTTTTTTATTTTGGCAACATAGAGATTATTACTCATATTGTATTGTTACCATGGTTCATTTTCATGAATGATATGTCAATTCGATTGTATGTGTGTGCGTGTATGTCTGTTTGTTAACGTGTGTTCAGTGTTTTTTTCTTGATTGCTTTGTTTTTTGTATTGTTCATTTCATATTTTTACCCATCTGTTTTGACGAATAATTAGTTTACAGAATGGGGGGTTAGGGGTTTTGGGGGCTTCAGTAACGTTAAGAGTTGAATTGATGAGTCGATTTAAGTCAGAGTAATATTGAGTCTAAAAGCATTGAATGACCGTTTTGTCCTAATATGGAATTATTTTTTTCTAGTTAGCGTTTTTTTTAACGAGTTGGTTTTTCCATGGGGTGGGGTCGCTAACCCCATGCCCAACCCTCCTCCTTTACCCGAGCTTGAGACCGACAGTAACTCCAGATGAGCTACAGACGGAGTTCTATAATTATTGGAATAAGTAATTCTCAAAATGGGGGAAGAGGAGGTTGTGGAGATTGTAGTGATTTCTTAAGAGTTGAATTGATGAGTCGATTTAAGTTAGACTAATATTGAAAATCTAAAAGCATTGAATGACCGTTTTTTCTCTAATATGGAACTTCTCAGAATTATGCATCAGTGATTTCGTATACGGGACTCGAGTTCACCAACAATTACACACAACGTGAATTTAAACTTCACTCAATTGCACAAGCAGGTGACTATCAGGACTCAGTAGCTAAGTGGATAACGCGATGGCGTTTGAAGCCAACGGTACTGGGTTCGAGTCTCAGAGTGAACATCAACTCTGCGATGCAGGTACATCCAGCTGACGAGTCCTAAATAGGATGAAATGCGCATCCTGGATTCCACTGCTAGTCACTTTCTATCTTTGCTTATAAAACTTGTGACTTCAGGCAATCCGCAAAGGATGCACATATACCAACAAGAGACTGATCAATTGCAGTCCGACATAACAATGCGAAGATACAACTAAACAAAACCATGTGAATTTAATTACACATAGTGTTATTATTGTACTTATTATAACTGTGTGGAATATATGACACTAATCAATTGCTTAACTGCGAAATCAATATTTGTCACACAACAAATTACATCTTATCTTAATAGTGCAATGACGTCTTTATTCTTACAGTTGATTTTTTATAAATTTAACTGTACTACTCACAAACGAATTAGTGTATGACAAGAAAAAAAACTGTTGAAGTGAATGATGATTTACATAGTATGTGGTCCAATCATGATGTAACTTCTCATTAGGAACAACAGATATCACTGCTGTTTAATGTACTAGATCCTTCTTTAAACAATCCTGTTTTTTAGTGTAGGATAAACATGTAAGAATTAAAGTTTATGTTAAGTTTATTTATAAGAATGTTGGTACATAATGACTTGATACCTTGAATAAAATTCACTTAAAGACAGTGTAGTGAACAAAACATCCGACATCCACCCGGCACCTGTGACGTTCAACACCCGTACTCCACCGGCCTACTGAGCCATCTACATCCAATGTCCGCCCAGCGGCCGCACGTCCAACCGCTCCTCTTCGTCTACAGCACCTACTACAGTTAATACCACCCCACCAGAACACTCCACTCGGCGTCACCTCTCCTCACCAGACTGCCCCCAGCGGCGTCCGCAGAACAGCACCCTTCCTCCTCCTGGTTGGCAGCGACACCAAATGTAGTGAACAAAACACTAGTTGGGACAATCGAATGTATTTAAGCACAAATTACAGACTATCTCATTAAATTTTGATAACCATACATCAGTAAACAGTTCATTTGCAAACTATCAATCAATGGTCTCAATCTTCACTGTTCCTTCTATAAATATCAGTTCATCTTCTCTAATCCCATTGTTCATGCATTTTCCTACCAATTACATTTCACTTCAGTTCTTTCCTCATACCGCAAGTTAACTAAAAGCTTTCAATTTGCCCTAAGACGTACTTGAAGTGGATGTTGCTTTTCGATTACGTACACTCTTTTACCCGTATATGCATTGCCACCAGCCTCCTACTTTTATCCTAAAACCAATGGATTACACCTTTAGAATTAATCACATATTTTTTAAAATTATTCTTTATAGACTGAGTGTATGAAGAGTATATGAGTGAAATGTATTAAAAACTTGACCTTAGTGTCGCTGAACCCTGCTGAAGCTAATCCTTCATTACATATGATCATTTTAATCCGTCGGAGAAATACATTTAGCACAGCTTATGAGGTGTTTTTCACCTATCATTGCTCTTGATTTATCAATGTCACTACTATTGAAAGTAGGACTAAATGTATCTACCTGGAGAAATAACTATTTAGTTATATTTTGAGTATTCATATATCCTTATTTTACATAGCTTCTAGTTCAGTGATTTCGTTATTAAATTCTTATGGTCTTTATTATGAGAATTACACTCATAATGCAATGAACGAGAACACAGATGAAGACAGATAATTGTATTTTCTTACAAAATTACAAAATATTGTATACCATCAACGTTGATGATCTATGGCGAATGATTGGAGGCCTACTCCAGTAAGACGGGAACGGTGTACCCAACAAGCTAACTTCGAAGTCGCACCTCGCGACCAGCACCTTAAGTGGATTTCCCCATCGATGTATCAAGGGACCATGGATTCTCTGAAGACTGTATAACAGAAGGGATGTTATAACAGGAATATATTAGTTAAAGTAGATACAAGCGAAGTAGAACCACTGCCGCATGGGCCAGTCCGTGACGTATGATTAACTGATGCGTGTTGATTGTCCTTGACCTTGACGATGATCTGTTAGAAATTTAGTTACCCAACTGCTGGATGATTTGGTTAGGGTTCAGTGACATTTCACTGACCCTACAATATCTTGGTGAAATATGAGTACTATACACTGAATACTTTATTTCAAAATTTCTATTATTTGTTCCTCACACTCTGTATAACTATTCCAGCTCACTATTTCTTTCCAAGTCCAGTTCTGTTTTCTTCAACTCGATCTCCTTAGCCTTCTGTTACCAGCCATTCAACTTTTGATTGGTGTTACATACTACTTATATCTCGATATAAATATCATACACCACAATAATATATATGCATCCCGAGATAAATTACTTCGTAATAATACTATGTGCAGATCTAGGAGCAAAATTATGGTTGGAACTTCCTGTATGTAATGAGCGGGAGAGACCATAATTTATAGACGACCTTTGAACGAATACTAGGTGACCTTGAGAAATGTTAGCCAATCAGTAGACAGACAGTATAGAGTAAAAATATACAATACAAAACCAAAGAATTAACCCTTCTTCAAAAACTTGTCAAGGTTAGAAAAAGGTTCAAAGGTCCCAAAATCGTAATACATAAGGTAGAGGAACCCATCCATATGGCTCCATAATAGTTGTTCTCACGAACCATGATAAGGTCACAAAAACCCTCTCAGCCTCGACTACATAGCATCATTATTGTTTGTGTGTACTCTGGTAGTTTAAGTTTATCATTTTCATTACGGATTACAAGTTACAAATACAGGACTTTTTATTAGTCTCATTTATTGTAGCCGCCTAATCGTCAAGTCTTGTCTAAAACCCTCTGTGAACCGGATGTGCATGGACTGAAATAGGCTTCGTGACCTTGAAATTCATCAGACGCTTGTGATTGGCTTGTCTATAAATTGTAGTCTCGCCAATGAGTGTTCTACAACATCAGGAAGATTAAGAAATCTATCTGGAAACAACATTTTCTTTAGCAAATGCTGTAACAGTACATTACGGCACGGCAAAAAAGTCAGCGGTTTTGAAAGCCGTTCACCGTTTCGTTTTAACGACCTTGAACAGCCTGACAAGAGGCGGTAATTCCGTATTTCAGTTGTTGAGGGTCTTTTGGGTGTCCGGTGGGTTACACGAATATCAGGTTGTTCAACTTTGCGAGCACTTTGCGCCTTTATCGATCAATGGTTGAATGAGTCAATTCTTTCAGTCACAATGTACTGAGAATGCTAGACGTAAATCATCTCTTAATTATTTGACATTAGGACCATTTAAAATCAAACGTGTTAGTCTTGTATGAACCGGACAATAAGACAAGTAAATTAACTATGCAGCAACATTTTCATTACACCCCTATGCAAACGAACTAAGAACACTGGACAGGCGAAGGGTCATAAAGATCTGAATGATAGTTTCATAATCTTTAACGCAAGTATGGATTCATATATGCGTAATTTTTAGTTCCACTACCAATACTGTATCTATTCACTTCTTATATATGTACCTTTTCTATTTAGGCATATTTGTGTCTGTGTATTCATTTATTGAACTTAGTGCATGGCTAAACATAAACTCAACTGACAGTTTATGCAACGGTTGACGTCGCGAGAGATTTAAATATCCGTGATTTGTTCAAGAAGTAAAATCCTTACTCTATCCATTCATTTACTGCCATAGTTTGTTTATTCATTTCTCTCGAATGAAATATAATTTTACTAAAATATTTCATATGAGTTATTTTATATCATTCTACTGCAGCATGGTTAATTACTTATATGGTCGTGTTTAAAGTATCATACAGTAATTGATCTGAGATAAATTAATATGGGAATTTTAACGACGGACCGACATCAGTAGTAGAGCAAGGGCTAGAGCTATGTAGTTGTGGACATTGATCATAAGATATCATCTGAAATCTGATTGTCTTCCATCAGGGATAGTACCAATTCAAAAATACTTACTTACTTACTTTACTTACGCCTGTTACTCCCAATGGAGCATAGGCCGCCGACCAGAATTTTTTCTGGTTAGCGTTTTTTTAGCTAGTTAGTTTTCTACGGGATGGGATCGCTAACCCCATGCCCAACCCTCCTCCTTTACCCGGGCTTGGGACCGGCAGTAACCCCCGGAAGAGCTACAGGCGGAGTTAATTCAAAAAATAGTCAGACAAATTTGAGAATTCGAGCATTCCGTTATCTGCTATTTTTCACCTAAAGTATAATAAATATCTTATCTTTATTCCAAGAATCTTTCAAATTAACCTTTATTATTTTTTAAATGATCTCCTGGAATCCGAGATACCATGATCTGTTCACGTTGATGTTTAGTCGCAAGTGCTCTGAAAATAAGTTTTCGTCAAATTTGTTCCCTTGGTGGATTCAATACTTCACAATATTCGTCTCCAAATAACAGATCCAAGCTTTCCGATGATACTATTACTTTCACAAAGGAAGTTAGCTTGTCTGAAAATACAGATAAGTGTACTTGCTGGGAAGATAATGGAAAGGCTTAAAATAGGACCGCATGTCCGTGAGTAAAGCAAAATAAATTTTAGACTTAGTCATCCTAGATCATGTTTAATGTAGCAGTCACGTCACTGTATCAATTAGCA